AGTCTGTGACTCTTGAACTTCTGGAGTCCAAACTATATCCAAAATATAATACTGTAATTTTTAGTTAGGAATGATGGTAAATTTGTTCATGAAATGTATTGTTTCTGTTTTTTGATCCAGCCATTTATATTGATGTTATATCAAAAATCAATCAGGAGTTATCACATGTCACATGCTCAGAATCCAGTGGCTTCTGTATGAGATGGTTGCAGGAGGAGATTTACCTGGAGGAGGAAAGAGTTTCAGGATGGTCAAGACGAGATCAGGCACAGGACAGGAGACGATCGGCAGGTCAAAAGGTAATTTACTTCATTGCAAGATATCACCTCGTTGCAGTGGGAAGTGGAGGGAGGTAAGAGACAAGAATGCAGATCTTCACTGCTGAAAGCACTGACACATGAGGCATCTTTATGCAGATGGCCATGGACCAGTGTTTGTGCCACCCTCCAGCATGGACCAGCAGTGTGTGACAGTGGTGGAGAGGCAGTTCCTTCACTCTTCCAGGTCTCAGTATTCTTCTCCCTAAAGTGAGGCTGCTGACCATACCTACCTTGTGGAGCATGTGGAAGGCTTAGTGAGTTAAACACATGACCATTTAAATTGGCCTTCTGCAGTGATGACAGGACACAGACTGTTTTCCTCTACTGGCTTATTCCCTAGTATGAATTAGGGGCAGGGGATACCACAAGCAATGATAGGTTCAGTTGTGGACACCATGTTTCTATTTTGCATTCTTCAAAAAAGAGCTAGTTTACTTCAAGTAATAGAAAGCAATCTGTGCCCTCTCAACCAACTCTCAATCTTTTAGTACATACAAGCTTGAACTCTTATCTCTTGTAGACACAAGAAAATAAATCATGCAAGGTAATGCTACTCTATAACTTTTGCCCTCTGATATCCTATTTGAACTCTTTTTACCTGAAGTAAACATCTGTGCGGGGGGAGAGGGGGATGCCAAGTCTCGGATACTGGGCTAGTGTCCTGTTTTTACTAGATAAAGGCAACAAGATTCCAATTTCTGTGTTAGACATTAAGTCCAATCTAGGTCCATGAATGGTTTGGTCTGTTGTGAGGTCATTGTGGAAGGAAAGACACTGCCATCAACATCAGTTTTAGAAATTATTTTTTGAGGGTAAAGTTCAAATCACTGCAGATGCTATGCTATAGAAGTTCCTGACAAAAATCATATTAAGAGAAGGATGGTAGGTGTAAATTCCCATGTAGTGTATGATCTTCATGATTTGAAGGACCCAGAGTGAGTCATCCTACAAAGACAGACACACAGTGGTGGGTCAGTAATGGGTGAGAGAATAATAAGGAATCCACACAGTTTCAGATTAGCAGTGTGCTAATTAAATTTTATAAATAAAAAAAGAACACTTACTTTCTGCCACATGTGGTCATACATGCCTTTACTCTGGAGGCAGAGGGCAGATTCTGTGAGTTCAAAGCCAGCCTCATTGTACATAGTGAGTTCTAGGACAGCCAGGACTAGGTAGAGAAACCCTGTCTCAAAAAAACAAAAAAACAAAACAAAAAACCCAAAAAAACAAAAAAAAAAAACAACAAAAAAAACCCCCCAAAAAACCCCAAAAAAAACATAACCCAACAACAACAAAAACAAACAAACAAAAAAAAAACCACACACACACACAAGTTAATTTTCTGTTGCACTAATTTTATCATAATCTATCATACTTTTGGTAATAATTATGGTATTTATATTAGATGTTTATACTTGCATGTATTGCAATTTGGCCCCACTCACCATTCATGAACCTCTCTTCTCAGTTCCACTCCACACATCAGCTTCCCAGATGTTTTTCTTCCCATTTCCACACTTGTCTTTTCTGACCCACTGAGGTTCATTTGGCTTTCTTACAGGAAATTGGATGAGGGCTTATAAAGCATCTGCTGAGGACCATGAGACATAGCATAACTCTGGTGCTTATGAAACACAAAGATGCTTTTAGGAGCTGTGTCAATCTGATGCCTCTTGCCAACTGGTCCAGGATGGAGCCTTAATGACAGATGCATAGCCTGTTATATACCCTGATAACTTTCTTATATGCAGAGATTTTAAAAACCAAACACCATTATTGTAATTCGGTAAGTGCAATTTCTCTGATTTGAATGCATAGCCTCAAATTTATGCATTAGAAACTTAGTCTAAATGCTACCTGGCAAAGAGACTGAATCCTCAGGAGGGATAAGCCTATGTGTGTGTGTGTGGTGTGTGGGTCTGTTTCCGTGGGTAGATTAAGGCTGGATTTTTTTTTTCTGTTGATTAAGGCTGGTTTTTTTCCTGTTATGAGCCACTTGCTGCAGGATTCGGATCTTGAGGATATACTGAGTTTGGACTCTTCCTTCTCTTTCATGCTCCATTGTCCTTCACACCTTTACTATTGGGAGTTTCCATGCATATTTCCTTACAAAACTGTGAGACTGTCAAGGAGTTGTTTAGGTATTATTCAACATTATATCTGTAGGTCCTAGCTGAATATTTTGTATTTAGTAGATATCCTGGCAGACTAGTTGAACAGGACCTATGTAACATCTTGACTATATTAAACTTCCTAAATTCCTAATGCAAGATGAACTGCCTCTGTCCCAGCCACCCTCACTGTATGCTCAGGATGATGGACCAGGATTCTGTTGACACATGGTCCCTACAGGAAAGACCACAGACGGGTGAATGGCATGGAAGCTGTTGGATCACTAGGTAGTATTTATCAGCCAATCAAATGGGCCTGGCATAGCCTACAAATTAGACAGATAATTGGCCAACATATGTATCCATATATATATATATATATGACACACACACACACACACACACACACACACACACACACACACACACACGACACAAAAGAAGCAATCATGGCCAAAGGATGCCAAGCACCATAGCCACTGATTGTAGTTTTTACTATAAACAAATGCACAACACCCAAGACTCCCCTAACAGTATTAGAGTTTAGAGAGGAAATTGACCAATTTGGCATGGAGGAACAAAGTAATTCAAAATAGGGTTTCTTAGTCAGGGTTACGATTGCTGTGATGAAACTCCTTGAGCAAAGCAACTTGGAAAGGAAAGGGTTTATTCAGCTTACACTTCAATACCACAGTTCATCATCAAAGGAAGTCAGGGCAGGAACTTGGAAACAAGAGCTAATGCAGAAGCTATGGATGGGTGCTGCTTACTGGCTTGTTCCCCACAGCTTTCTCTGCTTACTTTTTTAATGGAAGCCAGGACCCCTTGTCCAGGGGTGGTTCTACCCACAATAGGCTGATTCTCCTCCATCTAATTAGGAAATTACCCAACAAGCTTACCTACAGCTCAGTTTTACAGAGGCATTTTCTCTACTGAGGCTCCTTCCTCTATAGTGATTCTAGCTTGTGTCAAGTTGATGTAAATAACTAGCCACTCCTCCTTGTGGGGTGTTAATTGGCTCATATGTTTTTTGAGCTGTGTTTTGATGAATAATTTCAAGTCCTAAAGGGCATAGCAGAACCTTATAGGTAAAAGAATTTTGGGGCTATGGAAATTACTATGAGAGGTTGCTATGGAAGGGACTCAAGTTAAAATTTCTAGTACCCATGTATTCACTGGGCTGGTGGCAAGTGTAAATGGGAGGAAGGTCAGGGGAGGAATAGACAAGAGAAAGAGAGAGAGAGAGAGATACCATAAAAGAGGGAGCCATTATAGGTTTCAAGAGAAAACTGACTCTAGAGAAATGTCCAGAGACCTACAAGACTGACCCCAACTAACAATTTGAGCAACAATGGAAAGGCTACCATAAATGCCCTTCCCCGATAATGAGATTGATGACTAACTTATCCACCATCATAAAGCCCTCATCTAGTAGCTGATGGAAACAGAAGCAGACACCCACAGCTAAACAGTGAGAGGAACTGGAATCCAGATGTAGAGAGGGAGTACAAGACCAGGCTACAGACACCCACAGAGACAGCTGACCTGAACAAGGAGAAACTAATGAGCCCCCAGACTGATAGCTGGGAAACCAGCATTGGACCAACTCAGACCCCCTGAACGTGGGTCTCAGTTAGAAGGCCTGAGCAGTCTAAGGGACCTCTGACAGTGGAACCAGGATGTATCCCTGGTGCACAAAAGGACTTTGGGTGCATGTTCCCCATGGATGGATACTCGCTTAACCTAGAGGCAGGAGGGAGGGCTTAGTTGCTACTCCAAATGACTTGATAGATTTTGTTGACCCCTCCTGGAAGGCACCACCCTCCCTGTGGAGTAGGGGGGGGTGGGAGGGTGGTTGGGGCATGGGAGGGAGGAAGAGAGGGAAGGAGAGGGAACTGGGATCGATATGTCAAAAAAAAAAAAAAAAAAAAAAAAAAAAAAAAAAGAAGTGGGAGGAAGGGTGTGTGATAGAAAAGGTGCTTCCCAGGGCTTTTCTGCCCAGTCAGTCTAGATTCAGTAACAGACCCTGTCTTGAAAAATATGGTGGAAAGTGACAGAACAACACCCAATGTTGACTTCTGCATACACTGTACACACACACACACACACACACACACACACACACACACACACACACACACCCCTAGAAAAGAAAGCTTTGCAGTAGTTAATATCAGTGGATATAGGTTATCTGTGTTTTTTAAGGAGTTTTGGAATGAGAACAGGCATGAAAGAGATCTGAAAATTAGAAGAAATGTAATGCCAATGGATTTCTTAGCTTTTCTGAAAGAACAAATATTCACCTCCAGTATGTACTGAAAGGAGGTCAGAGTAGAATTGTGCATGAACTTTTAATAACAGTCACCCAAAAGCCATGTCAGTTCTCTGAGTTCAAGCAGTGCAAGGGAGGACCTTCTACTGGCTGCATTGCTGACACCGCCTCCTTTCCCAGCACATAAATACTGTAGGCTGGACTCACTTGATCTCAGCTGGGTACAGCAGGGGAGCCCTGCAAGACCCAGTTGGAAGGAAAACTCGGAGTCAGACCTGCTGAAGGAAAGCTGAGATGGAGCTGATCCCCAGCCTTTCCACAGAAACCTGGGTGTTGCTGGCTACCATCCTGGTGCTCCTCTACATGTGAGTAGTTGTCCAGGCTCCTTCCCTATCTGTAACTGGAGTTGGGGTGATATACAAGCCCCCTATTGTGGAAAAATAAGGATTGGGGAAAACAGATAGGCAGAATAGATATTTATTCAGTGAGAAATAACTTACAGCAGAGACAGATGAACACCAGCAGGTTCCAGTCCCAAGGATACCTCTGGATGCTCTCTGTCTCCATCCAGGAATCAAGAGAGGACTCTGGGGTCCCTACACCAGACCTTGTTCTTTCACATCATGTCCATCCCTGTCCCCCCAATGGGCGTCATCAGTGCAACAGGTACAGGTGGGGTGGGTATCTTCCTACAGCCTCCCTTTCATTTTCCTGTTGGAACATCCAAACAGAACATGGAGGAGAAGTTGAAATCAGCATTTAGGAAGTGCAGTTCTTACTGTAATGCCAATCTCTTGAGTTCTCACCTTTTTGGCTCCCTCTCACTCTTACCTTATGGCTCAGAGGGTTTTGACAAGACTTGCTCCTGAGAAGATGCAGTTGGCTCTAGTCTGTACCTAGACTAATCAACATCAATTCCAAGAACTCATAAACAATTGGCCACCACAGCCCTTCTGAGTTTTGTGAGTCCCAAGATCATGGAATGTGCTTAGAGTTTTTCTCACTATCCTTGCCTCCTCGCTTTCTGTAATATGGATCCACATGGGTCAGGCTTGTCCCCCATGCATACACACATCCATTGCTCTCATTCCCCAACATGCCTTACACAAATTCCCATCATGTATTCTAGACATTGTAAGAGGATTGACATCCATTCTTCTCTCTTGTCTGTAACCCTCACCTGAAATACCCTTCCCTCTGGATAACTCAAGTTCTTTTTTGCCTTGCAGTATCCAGAACCATTTTCCATTCAGTGCTGTTTTTAGAGCAGAGGACAGTTGGCACGGATTCTGAGGGTGGGTCTCAGTTGCTGGTTGGACCACAATGAAATGTTCCTGGATTTTTCTTTTACTTTACAGATATGGCTCCTATTCTCATGGAGTTTTTAAGAAGCTCGGCATTCCTGGACCCAAACCTCTGCCTTTTTTAGGCACTATTTTGGTTTACCGAGATGTGAGTACTGTTTGAGCTCTTTTTTTTCTTCTTCTTATGGATGCAACTTCTTATGCATCTCTTTATGGATCACAGTTCTTGGGAGGAAGTTCTGGGGCATCCAAAACACCCACTGGAAACTGTGTATGACCAACGAGAAGAGTGCTGGACTTCCCTTTACGATTTGTTGACATCCAGTTGGAGCTGTGGTTAGAAAGCCATGCTCACAGACACCTTGGAGCGTGGTGTTCGGGACTTCACGCTCAGGCTGTAAGGAGCAGGAGGAGCCTGGGGTTTTCCTCAGTGGAGCCTCCAGGATGTACTTAACCAGCACTCATGGGAAAGCATGGCTGCTCACAGCAGCACTGCACCAGCCTGTGTGCACTTCACCTTCACTCAGGGCTTGGGAGCTGCACTTGTCTTCTTCCTGCTGGCCAGCTCTGCAGCATCCCAGGATCAGGTTGCCTGTGTGTTGACTATAGGGGATCCTCTCAGGAACCCCTACATCCCCTGCAGTTACTTTAATGGCTCCATAAAGTCTTTAGTACCCAGGGCATCTTTGAGGATTTGACAAAATCTTCTTTCTTTCTCCTCTAAGACAGCACCCTGAGAGCCAGTCTGAGCAGGATGGGGCTGTGACTAAGACAAGGTGGTGCTTGTTTCTCACCCTCAGATACCACAGTGAAGTTTTGCTTTTCTAGGTGAAGGCAGACTCCTTTATAGAATCCTCACAGGAAGGATGGTTTTATCAAATCTTTAGAGGCCCCTGAAAGTGTACCATAAATGCCACAAGGGCCACGAATGTTGCCTGATTATTTATGGCTTGCTTGGTCAGCCAAGGCTGGCATCTGGCTAGAAGATGGTGAATGAGCTCAGATGCTGAAAGCCATCAACAGAGCCTCAAGCATGCTGCTCTCTGCTAGGATTTCCTTCTACAATGACTCCAGCTGCTTGTCAGAGTTCCAGTTTCACAGTTACATGCTTCCTGCAGGCCTCAGGTCTCAATGAGACCTCCATTGACTCATGGCTGCCCGAGAAAGCCTTACAGTCATTCCCCCTTGAAAGGAGAACACTTTTCATAATCATCTCATCACATTTCCCTTCCTGAACCTTCTTTTGCATTAAGTCACAGCTCTAAGGTAATGCATGACGGAACACTTCCTTTTTTCTTCTTGAGCATTGAAATCTCAGAGTTAGTGTTTCATTTCCTCTGTCCTGCCGTAGAAAGGGAGCCACTCATTGGTTCCTGCATACCGTCATGATTTCCCCACCATCTCCACACACACTCCCCCTCTCTCTCCCTCTTATTTTCATCATTTCTTAATTTTTTTGGTATTCTTTTTTTTTGTGTGTGTTTTCTTACTTTTCATCAGTTCTCTGAGATTTTCATGCTATGTATTTTGATCATATTCACTCCCTGCCCCAAGATTCCCTCAGATGCACCCCTCCTTCCCTACCTACCCACTTAGTGTGCTTTCTTTTGTAACCCATGGAGTCTTATTTGTGCTGCCTGCATACTCTCAGTTGTATGGGCATACACAGGATCATGGTTGATTTATCATGAGACACACCCTCAAGGAAAACTGTTTGTCTTCCAGCAGTGGTCAATTGCCAATAGCTCCTCAGAAAAGGGTGGGACTTCATTTCCTCCTTTCCATGCTAAGGGTTTGTCTGGCTTGTTCTTGCTCAGGTCCCCTGCAAACTTTCACAATTACTGCGAGTATATATGTGCAACTGCTCTTTTGTATTCTTGGCACTTTTTGTTGCAATGTTTTCTGTCTCTGGCTCATGCAGCCTTTTTGCCCCTGCCCCTACTTTTACAATGATCCCTGTTCCTTGGGAAGGGGATTGTTACACAGATGAGATGTCCCATTTACTGCACTTTCTTATTCTCTGCACCCTGGGCAGCTGTGACTCTTTTGTTTCCCTTCTTTTAGATGTTGAGATGCGTTCCACCCTGGCCTCAACTTTTCCATCTTCTTGCTTTTTTCTGAAGGCTAGGGTTATATGTGTACCCAAAAGTCTGGCTTTGCTTTATCCCTTTTGCTTTCATAAAACAAGTGGGATAATACTGAACCAAGAGACAGAACAGCATATACCCTGGGAAGTTAAATGGAGTTCTTAGTTGGTTTAAATAATAAATACAGAGTCAGATATAGAGAAAAAGGCTGACAGATCAGAGAGAAGGAGTAAGCTAAAGTCACCTTTACCTCATTAGTTACCTCAGCAGAAAAGAGAGTGATTTCCTGTTTCTTTCCGCTTATATCCTTTCTCTGCCCAGCCATCTCACTTCCTGTCTTTGCCCAGCCATCTCATTTCCTGTCTCTTCTCAGCCATCTCATTTCCTGTCTCTTCTCAGCCATCTCACTTTCTGTCTGTCTGTACAGACCTCAAGACTGTGTGGTTAGCTAGTGGCCAGCTCCATTCACTGATCTTCAGACAAGCTTTGTTCCTACAAGCAAGATATCACCATATTCCCTTACTTTGTATTCTTGAGGAACAGTTCAGAGTGTTCTAGGATTTTCAAGTCAACACACATACACACGTATGCACGTGCACGCACGCGCGCAGGCACACACGCACACACCCCTCAGACATGAAGCTGCTGGATATCCATAAGTAAGGACAGCTCCTTCAGTAGGTACAACCCTGAGAAAATTCAAGAACAGCCTTAAACACTCCGTTCCAGACAATTCTCTTCTCTCCTATTCCTTCTTGTGTCTCTAATAAGAACTTGCCTGTAATCGCTGGTGAGGGACAGGAAGCCTGACTTCATGGCATTTGAGTCATTTGCACCCCAGTTAGAGAAGGATGATTGTATACAGGCCAGTAATAGATTTAACTTTATTTCATTTCTCTTCCCAGGGTTTGTGGAAGTTTGATCTAGACTGCTATAGAAAGTATGGGAAAATATGGGGGTGAGTATTCTGGAAAATTCCATTGGGTAGGTTTGTTGAATGAACCACTGTCCTGCATGAGGGCAAAGCCTTTAGAGATTGTTCTGCCAGAGTCCAATATATCACAGTTGTTAGAACAGCGGAAATGCCATTGGAGGTGTTGCCTACTGGGACCTCCTCCACACTGATGCATCAAGGGCTCCAAGATTCAATGTTTTTGCTCCTAACCTTTGCTGGCAACCTTCTAATATGTGCTCAGAAATTCATGGTCATGTCTATACCAATCCACATTTAGTCAAAGCCAGAACTCCTTTACATTAACGTAAAAGTAATGAATGCTTTGGAAAGATAGACTTTGAGATGTAAATAAGTAGTGGATTAGAAACTCATGTATATCCACTTTATAAGCATCTTTAGTAATTAAAAATTAAATTTACAAGAAGTGTACATGGGTATTTCCTGTCTATTTAATTCTGCTGGCTTTGAAGAAGAGATGAGGGATATGTGTAAACCGCTATGTTCTCCTTTGGGCCTATATCTTTAATGGTTCTATAAGGTGGCTGAGCCAATGGCCCCCCTCTTCCCTTTCAGAACAGCTGGTCTTTTAGTGAGAGGTTTAGAGGAGGTGTCACCATTGTGTTGTGTTAAATGGGAAGAGGCCCTGCCTTTTTCTTCATCTGCTCTCATCCATCCTCAGAAACTACAGGCCTGGCCACTGGATCTGCTGAGGTGACACAGCCCATACAGATCATGTAACCCAATGCCAAAGCATTGATGTGCTGCCCTCTGGTGGCCACAAAGTAATGCTACTACCACATTATTAGGAATACTGAATCAGTGGAAACTCCACTGAGACATTCTGTTTTGACTTTGGAATCATTATTTATTTTTCTCCAATGGCTTCTATGGTCGAACTTGAAATGGGGTTCGTGTTACTTTGCTTTCTAGAGCAGGGTGTGTTGTGTGCCTGTGCAGCCTCAGGGGTGGAGTCTGGGGTCCTGGATGTAACTCCTGGTGTAGAATTTGACTTTTGAGGTTCAGTCCACCCTATTTTCCCATCTCAGGTTTTATGATGGTCGACAGCCTGTACTGGCTATCACGGATCCATAGGTCATCAAAACAGTTCTGGTGAAAGAATGCTACTCAGTCTTCACAAACCGTCGGGTAGGTGGCCCTTTTAGGGAATAATGAGTTACTTTCGTTCAATTTTAATTTGGAAATAATTATGTAATCATGATAAAGAGGAGCCACCACCATGCTCAGAAAAGTTCTTAGGTTTTGTAAATGGTAATGTCTTTCATGAGTATAAATATAACATATTCCTTCCTGCCAGCATACTAAGATGAGATTTGCATTGATATCATTAGGAGTTTATTTGCATGTCCTCTGAGAGGCATTCCTTCATACACATGAGTAGTGTTTTGGACATTGTTGCAATCATGTTTAGTGTTGAAGCTACATACTGAAAGCACAGGACTGTCCCTTCACTGTGGGACTTCCTCTCGTAAATATGGGGTAGTCACTGTGGGACACTTGATGTTTCTTCTTGGCAGTGTCTGATTCATTTCCCGGATGCCTTTGGGGTCAAGCTTGATAACATTCTGCTTAGCTTTCTTAGTTTTTAATGGTAACATGTAGTTTGATACTTTATATTTACATCTATGATCTATTTGTAATTTTTTTGGCATGAGATATGAAGGTCAGGTAGAGATTCCAGTTGGACCATGCATGTTCAACTGTTCTAATACCATTTTGGGAGAAGCTGTTCCCTCCAAAACTTACCAGTTCTGTTACTTGTGTGGGACTCCTCCTCATTGGTTTTCTTCTCTCAATTGATCATGGTGTTTTTACCTCTTTGGAGACCATTCCCTCTTGATGAGTGACATCATGTGGTTAATTAAGTCCTACATTTTTTTTTAAAAAACAGTTGTTTTGTTGGTTCTTGGACCTTTGCTTTCCTATCCAAATAATGAATATTCTTGTCTGAATTTAACTTCTAAGAGTAATTTTGATAAAAATTGAAATAATAGGGGGGAAATATTTTTACTGTGCTGTGTCTTCTAATCCACAGCTACCACGTGACTCTCTGGTTTTTAGTTTGCCTTTGCTTGCCACGTAGACAACTTCAGGTTAAAGACCTGGCACATATTTTTGTTACATTTATGCTCTAAGTATTTAATTTCTAGTTATTGCTATGACATCATTTTCTCAACATTTCTCCACTTATCATTGCAATTATGTACAAGTGCAATTGAACTCTGTGTTGTCATTGTGTCCTATGACTTTTCCAAACTCACTTCTTCATTCCATCCATTTATTTTGTATGCTGTTTGGTGTGTTCTACATGGACAGTGATGGTTCCTGAAAATCAGAACTCAGTGTTTTGCAATCTGTATGTCTTCAATTGAACTCTCTTACCCTGTTGCACCAGCTGTCACTCCTAGAACAGTACTGAGTAACAGTGCTGAGAGGAGACTTCTGAAATGCAGGAGACTGGAGGGTCAAATATCCAGGCCTTCACCACCAAGTGTGAAACTGGCCTAGGCTTTTGTGTACATTTTCTTCATGGAGTATAAGAAGTTTGTGTCATTCCTTTCGTTTTGAGCTTTTATCACAAAGGAGTTTTAACAGAGTTAATTTGGTATAAAATATAGTTTTGGAAGAGAGAAAAAATTCACAGCTAAGAAATAGAATTATTTTTTTTCTTGGTTCTCTGTATATAAAATTAAAAAGGCCTGAAAAGATGTTTCAGCAGTTAATCAAACTCATGTTAGCTAGTTCACAAGCATCTGGAACTCCAGTCTCCTGTAACCTGATGCTTTTTTTGAGCTTTGGTAGGCACTGCACACACATAGTACATGGATGAACATGTAGACAGAACACCCATAAACATAAAAATAAAAAAATAATTGTTAAAAAGCAAAAAATAAAATGATTTCCATGTTATAATAATTCATAAAAATAACAGATAAATCCTTAATCTTTTTTATTGGTGGTTTTTTTTTGTTTGCTTTTGTTGTTGTTTGGTTATTTTGTTGGTTTTGGTTTTTGAGACAGGGTTTCTCTGTGTAACAGTCGTGACTGTCCTGGAATTCACTTTGTAGACCAGGCTGGCTCTGAACTCATTGAGAGCTGCCTGTCTCCCTCTGAAGTCCTGGGATTAAAGTGCACTACCGATGCTGGCTTATTGTTTTTTAATGGTGTGTCTGTGGGGGTATATGTGCCTATATATATATAGGTATCTTTGGAAGCCACAGGTGCCAGAACTCCTGCAGTTGGAGTCACAAGGGGCTTTGAGCTGACAACCTGGGTACTTGGAACCATACTTGTGTCCTCTGCAAAAGTACTAAGCACGATTAAGGGCTGAACCATCTCTCCATCATTGGTTCATTTTTTTTTTCTATTGGCCTGGTTGTCCTGAAACTCCTTAAGCTGTCCTTGCACGAAGATGCAATAACATTTGCCTCCCCAGTGCTGGGACTATTCTTAATATTTTCTAATAGCCATACTTTAAAAGAAACAGCTTAGCCTCTGTTCTCTCCAATTTTTATGCCATTGGCAAACATAATGTAGAACCAGACTAAGATAACAGTATCCCAAGAATATGGATGTTTTTTCTTATTTCATGTATATGGGTGTTTTAACTACATGTACATATGTATACCACATGCATGTCTGAAGGTCAGAAGTGGGTGACAGATATCGTATCATTACAAATGGCTGGGAACTGCCATTTGGGTTCTGGGAACAAGTATGTGTCCTCTGCAAGAGCAACAAGTGCTCTTAGCCTCTGAGCGATCTCTCTAGCCCTCGATCCTAAGGCCACTTGAATCAATTCCTACTCTGCACAGTCTCGAAGAATGCTGTAGGGCTTTTTTCCTCCTATCCTCATGGAAGAACTGTTGAAGTCCAGCTTCAGCAGGGTTCAGGCCCAAAAGAGGAGGTGTGGGGTCAGTGGGGGACTGAATGCACTTCTGAGGGTTCAGCAGCTCGCTCTCTCTCTCTGTCTGTCTCTCACTCTCTCACACACGGCAGAGACACCATTTATTTAGTTATTTGTTTTTTTATTTATTTAGAATTTGGTCTATATTTTGGGGGGTTGAAATATTTATTTTATTAGATTTTTATATGTTTATTATTTTTCTTATTTTACATATTGATACCAGTTCCATCTCCCTCCATCCTCCAATGCCCTCCAAGCCCCTCCCATCTCATCCCTCCCCACTCCACAGGGAGGATGATGCCTTCCAGGAGGGATCAACAAAATCTCTCAAGTCATTTGGAGTAGGGGCTAGGCCCTTCCTCCTGCCTCTAGGCTAAGGGATTATCCCTCCATGGGGAATATGCTCCCAAAGTCCTTTCATGCACTAGGGATACATCCTGGTTCCACTGTCAGAGGTCATTTAGAATGCCCAGGCCTTCTAACTGAGACCCGTGTTCAGGGCATCTGAGTCAGTATAATGCTGGTTTCCTAGCTATCAGTCTGGAGGTCAAGCTCCCCCTTGTCCAGGTCAGCAGTCTCTGTGGGTGTCTGTAGCCTGGTCTTGCCTCTATTTTCTTATCACTCCTCCCTCTCTGCAACTGGATTCCAGGAGTTCGGCTCAGTGTTTAGCTGTGGGACCCTCTTTATTTATATAGCATATTGACTATATAAGTCATTTGGCAAGCATCAAAGCACAGGCTGTCTTTTTCATTTCCCCATTATGTGTCTAGGGAGAAAAAGCAAAGAACAAAACAGACAGTCTTACTTACATGAAAAACATCTTAGGACAGCATCAGTCAAATCGGGAAGTTACCCATTTTTCAGGATCTGCAAAGCATAGGAGCTTTTGTTTTTGCAATCTGTGTCTAGGCTGGCTGTTCATGTAGTGACAATATGTTAGATAGTCTGAAATTAAATTATTTTTCCCTTAACCAAGTTATATATAGAATAATTTGACATTTTCAAAAATACAAACTTTACAAAATATCTCATAATAAGCATTTAACTGGTTAATTATAGCATTTTGTTGTTGTTGTTGTCTAGTTTTATAGTAGGGCAAGTTGTTTTCAGAAAAGAAGATTCTGATATCTCATTTTTTTCTTATTCCTTCGATACAAGCTCCAGTATAGGGCAACGAATATACTTGTGACATCTTATATGCAGAGCCGAGCCAGAAATTTCTCAGAATCTACCCTATTGCTATCATGGTCCTTGTGGTACAAGTCAGACTTCCTCTGTGACTCTCAGGCTAAGATCCCCTGCTGTTGCTGGGTCCTAATGCCTTCCTCGGGGAAGGGGGTGAGAAGGTGCAGTGGCAACAACATAGACATCATGAGTCAGTTGAAAGGAAAAACAGGAGACTCATTTATTTAGCAATGGGGGGATCTTTACGTACCCTCCCAGTACGCAGGCATTCCAATCTGCTGACATTGTGTAGTCTTGCCTCATTGGGTAGGCATGATCAAGACCTCAGACAGCATCTGTTGCTAGGGTCTCAGGTATCACTTGTTAGCCCCTCATTGGCTTGGCACAATCAGGACCTCTGACAGCGCCAGGCAGACTCCAGTTTGGCTCATCTCTGGGCCTTGTAGGCCTTATCTTCCTACCCTTCCTTCAAAAATTTCTCTTTGGAACATGCATATATTTCTTCAGGGGCCGCATAAGCAGAAAACTCACCATTCTGTGAACAACTGCTTCTAAAAGTGAAGGCAGAAACCAACACTATGAGGTGCCCTCTGGCTCAGAACTCAAGCCGCTCCTTGTGCCATGGCCTGTACCATGAACAGGCTTTTCCTGTGCAAGAGGGGTTGCCTTTTAAGAACAGACTTTGAGATAAAGACTTGAAGCAATTCCCTGTGGATGGCTGGCACTCATGTTTGCATTGGTTGTGTGGTGTTTTCAATGAAAATGTACTGAGTATATGTAAAGGCCTGCCACTTAAGATCAGTAGATACTTATTAAACAAGTGATGTTTGTTTGATATATTTTCTGTGGCCATTCTGTGGCTATGGATGTATACACATATATGCATGCATGCGTGTGTGTGTGTGTGTGTGTGTGTGTGTGTGTGTGTGAGTGTGTGTGTAATTTCTGCAAGGTAAATTGTCTTTCAATTTGAACGCTAGACTTTTGGTCCAGTTGGATCTATGAAAAAGGCCATTACCTTATCTGAGGATGAAGAATGGAAGAGACTTCGAACACTGCTGTCTCCAACTTTCACCAGTGGGAAACTCAAGGAGGTGATGATGGAGAGGGCATTTACTTATGGAGTAACCTGGGACAGGGAAAAAACAAGGTTACAGTCCCTTTCCTAGGGTTGGTCCTCTGAGTTATAATTCGTATAAGATGATCTTTTGTCTTCATGCCCTGTAACATCCCATATCCCATCCTTGCTTCCTGGATGGGGCTGAGTCATCTTTCTGGGGCCTGAGTTTCCACATTTAGCTACAGATGCTGTGCTTTGGTTTTAGATGTTCCCCATCATTGGACAGTATGGAGATACATTGGTGAAAAACTTGAGACGCGAAGAAGAGAAAGGGAAGCCTATCAATATGAAAGAGTAAGTGGTGGTGGAGTTGATGGGACTGTAAGTCCCTTAGTGTCCCCTCAACTCTAGGAAAAGGCCATCTGCAAACCAACCACAGGTAAAGGCCCCATGTGTGAGTGTGATAGGAGCCTTGACCCCACTGATGACTCAGCAGGTGGTTCTGACTCTGTGCTTCCCTGCCTGGGTATCTTGGAAATATAAGCTGCCTCAGAAGCAGATGTTGATTACTGTGTCTCTCTCCTCAGCATCCTTGGAGCTTATAGCATGGATGTGATAACTGGCACATCATTTGGAGTGAACATCGACTCCCTCAACAACCCAGATGATCCCTTTGTGCAGAAAGTCAAGAAGATCTTAACACGTGTGGATTTTCTTGACCCATTCCTTCTCTCTGTATGTAAGTAGCTACTTCCTCTCTTGTTTTTCTTCCTCCCTCATATTCTTCCATCAAAATAACAACATCCATTATTACTGAGATACAATTCATATATAAAGGGAATGTACCTGCTTACAATGTGTAATTCAAATTTTGCTCATACAAGGCAATGTGTATCCATCACCATTGTCAAGTCAGGACATTTTATTCAAGAAAACCTGCACCTTCTCATTCCTGTCTTCCATCCCTCCTTGCAATAAGAAATACCAGTTCACTGTCCTGTAGATCTGCCTCTTCCTGATATGCCATAAAAATACATCATAAAGTTTTCACAGAATATGTAGAATTTAGCTTCTTTCATTTAACATAATAAATTTAAACAGAACTATTTTTTTGCCACTCCTATTTTCTGTGGACAAATCAAATTCTGTACCATCTGATGGTCATTAAGTTATTTTCAGATGTGGGCATTGCAAATGTGGGCACATGGACATTGGCATGTGAGATTTGTTTTTATGTTTTCTGGGTAGGTACTTGTGGTGGAATTAGTAAATTACATAGAACTTTTGTGTCTAAGAAGTTTTTTTCTTTGATAGATGAAGCATTTTACTTTCTAGTTAGGAGTTCATGAGGACTCCCATTCGAAACTTTGGGTAGTTGTTGTTGTTGTTTCACGATGTTCATTCCAGCCTCCGTAGAGGAAATTCAATTGTATAGCACTATGGGTGTTAGGTTGTGTTTCTTCCAAGTGGTAACATACTCCCCTACTTGGATACATTATTGTCTTTCTAAGATGAACATCATTCAGCCCTTGCTCCTGTGTAGCTGAATGGTTTATATGCTTATCTTTGAGTTGTAAGATTAGCATGTGCATTATGAATAACAGTAATGTTCCAGATATAGAAGTGACTTATGTTCTCTATTTTAGATGTCTTTTCATGTTCTTAATGGGAGCCTTTGAAGTACACATTTTAAAAATTTTATCATGTACAATTTTAAGATGTGCTGTGATTTAATTTTCAGGCCACATGATCAGAGATGAGGTTATGAACATTATTATGGGCAGTACATTCCTTAAGACTTTTTCTTTTCTATGTAGACCCGGCTGTTCTGGAACTTCCTATATAGACAAGGCTGCTTTGAGTTCACAGATATCCACCTGCCTCTACTTCCAGAATTCTGGGATTGAAGGCTTGTGCTTAGACTTAGATCTTTGACCTATTTTTAGTTAAATTGGGTACAATATCATAAAATGTATTCCTATCTTGCTTTTTTTGAGACACGGTTTCTCTGTGTAACAGCTTGAACTCACAGAGATCCACCTGTCTCTGCTTCCCCAGTGCTGGGATTAAAGTTGTGTGCCCCTAACACCTGACTATTTATTTCTATCTAAGAGGAGGAACAAAGAATGTAAATGCTGGTAGGTGAGGAGAAACATCACGTTCTGGACATGAACAGCTATCACACTCTAAACCTCATGGCAATTCACGAGATCAAGCCAACCAATATTCCCTTCATAGATATGGGAGATGCTCTCTGGAGTCACCCTTTCTGAGGAACTTTGGCACTGATAGATGCTAGGGAAGAGAGAAACATTCTTCATTGATGGTGTGGTCACTAGTCAGTTTCCTATGGTTCACTGGATGGTCCTGCGCCCATACATATGAAGGCAGCACTGCAGAGTCTTAGTGAACAATATAAAGTTATGAAAGGGATGTTTTGAGGGGGATCCTGGAGAAGCTGGAAAGGGCATGTAGGGAGTGTGGTGAATATGTTATTTTACTGTATGTATATATGTATGTATGTATGAAATGATCAAATAATAAAAAAATTTTCTTCCTATATTATTTTTTAAAAATTTGTTTTACTTTTAATTATGTGTACATATTTGTATGTACACATGGGAGTGCTGTATCTCTAGAGTCCAGTAACGGGAGTTGGATCCCTGAGAGCTGGAGTTGCAATTATGAACCAATCAATGCCAAGTACTGGGTACTGAACTTGGGTCTTCTGTAAGCCACAAATACTCTCAAGCACTTGGCCATTTTGGTTGCCCATATCTTGAATGTTTTACATTTTCATGTATTATAAAGATAACTATTTGTCTCATCACTTTGGTACCTTCCTTTGAGTTAAATGGAAAGAGGATCTGGGAACTTAGCTGTAGATGTATTTGATTTCTGATAAGTGAAAAGAATTTTGTGCAGATTTTCATTACACTTTCTCTTATTTTCTCCGTAGTTATGCTTCCATTCCTTACTCCAATGTATGAGATGCTAAGTATCTCTATTTTTCCAAACTGGCTAATGGACTTTTTCTATGAATTTGTAAAAAAGATGAAGCAAAATCACCTTGAAACAAATCAGAAGGTAAAATGTGGTGTTACTCACAGATTGCTCATGGTTTGGTCATTTATCAGGCCGTAACCCCTCTCTATAAATGTTCATCATTTCTGCTTCCAGACCCGAATGGATTTTCTTCACCTGATGATGAACTCCAAAGGTAAAGAGTCCCCTAAAGGTAACCCAGGGTGCTTTACTGTGTGTAGATGAAGAAGCCCAGAGAGAAGAGGGGGGCCAGGATGGTAGCTTCTGCCAAATTTCAGAAATACACGTGCACGGATGATAGATATGGTGTCCACTGCAACTTTCTAGAAGTACCCTGGTGTAAATGGATCAGAGTCTCTAGGGCAGCCACAGAGAGGCATTTTGTGCATGGCATTCCTCAGTGGTGCTGGGCCATCTTTCAGAGCAGAGTCAGGTTCTCAGCCCCTTCCCATCCCTCTGATTCTGGATCTCTGCCTGGGAATATACATCTGGGCCCAAATCAGGAAGCACACTGTCCGGCAGTGGGAATGACTCTGGGAACGAGTGGTGGAACTGTGTTCAACAGCTTCATCTGAATTTATTCTGCTCTGTGTAAATAGCATCTGGGGAACTATAAACCTGACTCTTCTTCATTCTCCTGGACTCAGGTTTTATAACCATCATCTATGCTAGCCTTATGCCTTATGACAAAACTATTTTTCACTATTATAGCTACAGAGTGACTTTAAAATTCTCATGTGTATTCCATATTTCTAGTCATTATACAGCTAAAGAAGACATTTCAAATCTTATTTGCTTTTTAAAAAATATCATTGAAAAATATATTTATTTCTATCAGTGTGATCTTTTGAATTCTCTATTGGTTTCTTCTTATGATTAGTTATTTTGAATTTCAAGTCATCATGCATGTGCCTTGAATAAATCATGTATAAAACCACTTCGTTATGTGCCTTCCTGAGGCTTTGCATCACCTGTTCTTTAAATTCAATGGTTAAAAGAGACTTTAATATTAGAGTGGTTTCTGGTCAAAGCAGAGGTTGGGGAAGTATAGAGATTTCCCTGTACACCTCTGCATATACTCCTCCACACAATTAAGCATCTGCAGGACAAACTCTCAAACATTTCCCAACTGTTTTTTTTTCCTCAAATTTCTTTAACTTCCTTTTCCTTGAAGGAAAAATGATCTAACATTTACTAATAGATAAGGTATTTGTCCTAGTTATTCATGCTGGTTCTGCGACAAAATACTTTCAGGAGAGGATTATTCTGACCCACAGTTTAATGGTTCAGTCCATTATGCCAGGAAAGTCCTGGGGACAGTAGAGGGAGGCTGCTGGTCACATGGCATTGGTAGTTAGGAAGCAGAGAGCTAAATGCTGGTGCTAACCTCACCATCTTCTTTTTACTCAGTGAGGACCCAGGCCATGGAATGTACCACCCATAGTTAAGATGCATCTTCCCACATCCATGAAGATAATCCCCAAGGGATGCCCAGTCTTGTCTCCTAGGCAATCCTAGATCCAGTCAACATTAACCACTGTATTTCTTTTAAGTTTATAAGTATGTATGAGGGCAATGTGTCATGGGTTGAACTACACATTTGCGGTGGTGAGTCTGCTATAACAGGACAGTGGGTCACAGGTGGGCACCAGAGTGGAACTCAGTCTCACTGACTCTGGAACACCTTTCTCTGTTCTTCCCTAGACAGTTGGGGGCACCATTTGGATTTCTTCTCATCTCAGCTCTGATGTTCTGCTTTGATCTTCCTGATCTACAATGTTCTTTTCCTTTTAGCTCTGTCTGACATGGAGACCACAGCCCAGTCAGTTGTTTTCATTTTCGCTGGCTATGAAGCCACAAGCACGTCCATCACCTTTATTATGTATACACTAGCCACCCACCCTGATGTACAGAAGAAACTCCAGGATGAGATTGACAGAGCTCTGCCCAATAAGGTGAGGGGATGGTATGCAGAGTGGGAGGGCAGAGGTAAAGGATTAGCAAGAACATGTCTCATCACTTGCAATGAGAATGCTTACAGAGTTCTTCCACCCAGCATGAGTCTAAGACAAAGTGAGGGACACAGGAGATGGGTACACATTCTTTAACACAGTGCTGGCTGTGGTGTACCTGTTATCTCTTATGACAATAAAACCAAGTAAGAGACACCAGAATCTATGTGTGACACTTGAGGATAGGCACCAGTCCATTAGGTGTCTGGACTGTTATCTGTGCTGATGTCCAGGCTATCTATGGTGCTAGGCTGGCCTTCTCTGGTGTCAGCAGGCTGGCACAACACTACTCAAATTGGCTCTACTGTCCAGTCCAATGGCATGTCATTTATGTATGTGGGTGTGTGAGCCAACTAGGTGGGTCTTTTCTTTCCTGTGGTTTTGATAGTGTATCAGACTACTTCCCATCTGAAGCCCTGAGTGCAGTTAGCATCACTTTCATATTTCTTGGAGCATCAGTGCCCTCTGCTGACGGTAGCTTGCATTACAGTCAAGTTCTCTTAGGGAGGAGTCTCCATGTCAAACTCTCTGAGGTGGCTAATGTTTCAGCTTCTGCTGTGTGAGAATGCACCCAGATATGCACAAGTGGTGTGCCCACACACCTGAGTATTGGCCACCTGCTGGAGGAATGCAGCTGTGCTTGTATCAAGGACTGTACTAGGGCTTTATTCTAGGGGCTCTAGAGCAGAGACGACCCACCTGGTGAGTTTGGGCTCCGGGCTGTCAGTCTTCGTTTATTCTCAGTAGAGGAGGCCTGGCCAGGAAAATCGATGGTGGGGACACTCTCCTCTGTACACTTTATTTCCTCAGCCTCCTGCCCCATGGGCTTTAAGCTCCTAAGCATCTAACCCTCCCTCATTCTGTAAGTGTCACTCAGGGTAGTTTCTTGCCCTAGGGCTGTGGCTCATTAAGTCCAGGGTCTGGCCTGGACCTCCCTGAGCAGTTCACTTTGCAGTGAAAGTTGTCTATAAAGATGTCCACTGGCTTCTACCTTCTGAGGCATCCAGAGGGACAGTGGGATTCCTCTCCGTAGTTGCAGGAATCAACCCCCATCTCACTACACTCTTCATTGGTTTTGAAGTCTGTGGAGGCCGTGGGCATGTCCTGGAGGTAGGACTCCCTGTTCATCAGAGCCTCTTGGGTTTTTAGAGGGTCTTTGCCTTCCCCTTTCTCTGGAACTGGGGAAATGAGCAACCAGCACCATCCTCTGTTTGGTTTCCTTTCTATGAATCATCCATGTTTTTCCACCATGCCTTTTCAATGTCCTTCTACTTCCTTTGTGTTTCTGAAGCTCCTCCTCTCTCCTTGACATAGACCTCATTTTGTTTCCTGTTTTCCTGTTGCTGACTCTTCTTCACACAGAGAGGCAGTTTCTATTGTGTCATCTTTCCAGAAGTCTCCATTGTAACTTTTATTCCAACTTAGTACTCCTGCCACTCCCTAAAGGAGTTAGCAAGCAGGAGTTGCCTAGTATGTAGTAGAAGCTGGGGACACAGCCCAAGCACACAGTACTTGTTTTATGAGGATGTGGGTTTGAGTCCCAGAACCCATGTGGGGGAAAAGTTATAATTGGAGCACTGAAGAGGTAGAGACTGCGTGAGCCTGTCTTCTCCTGGAACTCACTAGCCAGCTAAGCTAGCCTACTTTTAGAGTTTCAGGTCACTGAACACCTGTTTCAAAAATATATAAAAAGTGGACTCCATAAAGAATGACACCCAAAGTTGTCCTTTGGTTTCCACATACAGATCAATCCACAAGCAGATGTGGACTTGCTATGAACGTGCACACACATACACGTGCAAAACCAGAAAATTCTGGAAATCACAGTGTGGACCAAGAGTGGGGAGCTTGTTCCTTGCAATGATGCCATTTTCTTTGTGTAGATTGATGGCCTATGGATGTGAGACAGTGACCCCAATGCACTTTGCCTGAGTATAACTCATAATATATTGGCCATATGTGCTCACATGGTAAGGTAATCAGAGCAGGACAATAATGAGAATGAGGGGATCTGTAGGGGGTGTCTCAAATGGCTTCTGTGCTAAAATAATACTTTTCATCCTAATGGGCCATAATCAGAGCAAAGGTCATCATAGCAGAGTGATTTATTAAGGCTAAACTCTACTAATTGAGGTTAGCCCTTGGAGCCTCTGACATGTAAGAACTCTACAGACTGAATGGAAGGAGTCTAGACCTCATCAAAAGCATGTTTCCTCTCCCCAGGCACCTGTCACCTATGATGCCCTAATGGGCATGGAGTACCTGGACATGGTGGTAAATGAAACTCTCAGATTGTACCCAGCTGCTAACAGGCTAGACAGGATCTCTAAGAAAGATGTGGAAATCAATGGTGTGTTCATTCCTAAAGGGATTGCAGTCATGATACCAACTTATCCTCTTCATCGGGCCCCTGAGTACTACCCAGAGCCTGAGGAGTTCCGCCCTGAAAGGTACAGAGACCTTGGGAAGTGGTCCCCATTAGGAAGTAAGCAAATTAAACATATTATGCAGCCTACTAGAAATGGCATGTATTTGATTTTGTATCCCTTTGCATCTATATGTGTTTTGAGAATTAACCTTTTAAAATTACAAACTGATAATTACTGTTGTTATATAAAGACCTCAGAAAAAGGCATTCATGCCATTCAGAATATCAAAATGTTAACATTAATGCCATATATATTGAAATATGTCCTTGAGTATTTATTTGTAGGTATGTAAAGGTTTTGCAAAATATGGTGTGTGTTAGTTGTATTTTGAATCACTAATTACTTAAATACCAGCCTGTTGTGGAATATTACTTCAACTATGTACAGGTGTGTTGCTTTGTTTGGGCTGCATTTGTTTAATGATGTAAAGATGTGTTGCTTACCCATCTAAGGTACCTGATTGGGCTAATAAAAAGCTGAATGGTCAATATCTAGGCAGTTGATGCTGACAGGCAGAGAGAATAAGGAGGAGGAGGAGGAGGAGGAATTAAGGGTTGGGGGTCAAGATGGGCAGTAGAGAGGAGGAGATGCCTGGGGCCAGGCAGCCAGACTGGGAAGAAGCAGAAGTGGGACACTTTGGATGAAAGAAAGGGGAAAAGCCTCAGGCAAATGTAGATGCAGAGAAACAGGTTAAGTTATAAGACTTAGTGGGGCAAGCATAAGATATGGCCAAACATTCATAACTAATAAGTCTCTGTGTCATGATTTGGGAGCTGGTTGGAGGCCCACAAAGAAGTCTGCTATACTAACCTATGCACCACATATTGTCATAAACGTGTGTCTTATTTGGTGACTAGGCAGTAGTTGATATAAGTGATATCGAACTTACAGTTGTAGGATTCTTGTTTTTTTTTTTTTTTTTTTCATGTATTCTGTGCCCATCCCTAAATTTGCCGATGGCTTTAAGAACTTTTCCCATAGTCTGTCTGATTAGAAATTTCCTTCTTAGCCAGGCATTGGTGGTGCACGCCTTTAATCTCAGCACTCAGGAGGCAGAGGCAGGAGGATCTCTGTGAGTTCGAGGCCAGCCTGGTCTACAGAGCAAGTTCCAGGATAGGCTTCAAAACAACACAGAGAAACCCTGTCTGGAAAAAAAAGAAAAAAATTGACTTCTTGAAGGTTGAGGCAGTAGCATACTTTTCAAATTAAGACTTCATTTTCAGAATGGGCACATATATCCATCCCAGATAGATTGGTATTTAAAGATACATTTCTTCTCTAGAAGCATTTAGCTCAACTTGGCTCAACACCAGAGGCCCTTCTATTTTAAGGGACATGGAAATACTGTTGGCTTACAACTTTTTAAAATTTGTATTTATTTGTATGTGCAGGGTGTTTTCCTGCATGTGTGTCTCTGTAGCACATATGTGCCTGGAGCCTGAAAAGGCCACTAGAGGGAGACAGATAGCTGTGCTGGATCAAATCCAGGCCAGCTGCAGAAGAATGGTCTTAACTGCTGAGCCATCCATCCCTCCAGCTCCTGACTTACAATACAAGACACCCACAGCAGAGATTCAGTTGCAAGCCCACAAATGTATGCTGCGCCATTCTGTTGAGAGGAGTGAGAACTCTGAACAGGGAGCTCGTGGTCCTGCATGTTCCATAGCCTCATTTTCATCCCTGCTGTGGCTCTAGGTTCAGCAAGGAGAACAAGGGCAGCATTGATCCATATGTCTACCTGCCCTTTGGGAATGGGCCCAGGAACTGTCTTGGCATGAGGTTTGCCCTCATCAACATGAAACTGGCTGTCATCAGGGTCCTGCAGAACTTCACCCTCCAGCCCTGAGAGGAAACGCAGGTGAGGCTGAAAACTCTCTATAGACTGGTTTTAATGGGAGGGTTTTGTTTTTTCATTTAGAGTTTTACCCACAGAAAGGGAAAATTATCGTCATTTTTATGATGGATTGTATGGAATAAAGGATTTGAGTAACATTGACCCAGGAGCTTGAGGTCTTTCCATTCTAGAACAGTAAGTCTGTGTCTGGAAAAGGCACAAATAGAGAAATCATTTAGAGTCCATGCAGATCCCCAGGACATGACTAAGAATAGTGTCTCTGAAGTCAGGTCCAGGTTTGGACTGTGTGACTGACAACGGGAAACTGTTGCACACTCTTATTGCGCGGAATGGTCTCCTTGCCGTGGTCTGTGAGTGGCAGGCTTCGCCAGGAGCTAAGTTCCCAGGAGTCAGGGGCTTTCCAGTGCTGGCTGTGCTTTTCACTTTGTAACTTTAAAAACTCCCTGTGCCTAGTTGTTAGATACATGGAAATGATTTACCCAGAGCGTGGCTTCAGAAATCCATACTGGCTTCAGTGCACATCGATCCAAGCACTATTATAGTATATAAAGAAAGTCAACCCTTCCGGGCCATCCTGACCCCTTGGTCTCACACTTTCATGGCTGTGCTACATGAAAACTCTTGTTCTCTTAAATCTGTCTTCTGCTGTCTCACCGCTTCATTCTGTCCTCACACTTGTAGTTGAACTAGATGACTAACTGCCCACAGCCCTTCTACTCCTCTAATGCTTTCTGCAGGCTCTGTTCATCACTAAGTCAATGCACCCAAGTTTGTTTTCTCCATTGAAGAACTATATCTTTGAATTTATATTTATATTTAAAATCTTGTTTGTGTAAGCATACATGGACATGTATGCCTATATTTCTGTGAGTGTGTTCCTGGAAAAAATACATGCATGTTGTTAGAAAGCAAACAATACTTCTAGAGAAATTAAAATGTTGCCCCCTCCATACTTAAAGAATAACTATCTTTAGTTTTAAATAATTCCATGAATGGCAAGGCTATTTATAAACTCATGTATGTAGCATGAAGCTCCTCCCATAAACTGTGCTTTCTGAGTGGGTCATTAGAGGTAGTTATCACCTTATCTGTCATCCAGGGCAGATGTAGCTATCCTGTATATGCATACAGTGGCTAAGAAAGATGGACAGAGACTTTAACCTGGAAAGCGACAGGTCTCCAGCTTCAGTCACCCATAAGCTGATATCCTTCAATTTCCTTGATACCCTGCTTTCCTACACTCTGCTGAGCCCAGCTTACTCTGTTGGTGTCTTCCTTCTCCCAAAAGATCGAAGAGACTGAGACAAAATGGAGAGAACCCTGAATGACTCAGAGTTCAGCATTCACACTGATTGGGGACTAAGAGATGCTAGGAAACAAGGCTCAATGCTCCCTGCAGTTCTTGCCCCCTATTAAACTGAACATGCACAACTGGCCTGAGGTGGTGAGTCGGGCCCATAGAGGTGCAACGTTAGCCACCTGTCAGGATTACCTTTTAAGCACCAACGCCAACAATACCACTTTAACTGTATGTATACTGCCGATCAAAAACGGTCTTCCACAGCAAGTGAGATCTAAAATTTTTAAAGCCTTTTCACTTCAATTCGAATCAGCGAAGAACACAAGTCAATGTATTCCACCCTCAACCTCCTCTCTCGTTCTATATACAATAGTTACTCCAAAGTGACTTCTTGCACTAACAGAGAAACTTGACTTCACCACCCAATCCTAATGAAGTATGTAAAATTTAAGACACATGAAGCCAACAGTGTTTTATGTGTATAAAGTACCACTGTCCTGAATGAATTTTTTCAGCTTTGCTCTGCGATTGCTGGTTCATTCATTGCTTCTTAATGTGATTCTTCAACCACCGCAGATACCCTTGATATTAAGCAAGAAAACAATTTTTCAACCGGAAAAGCCCATCATCCTGAATGTTGTGTCAAGATAAAACACAAACGGAGTATGGATTTCCCTCAAGATTTCTGCTGTTCAAGGATGCCATGCAACATCAGAGAATCTGTTTTTGCCTTTGAGTGAAATCAGTTTAATTGCTTTTATGAGTAGGTGGTCAGTAATTCACCGATCATGCTCAGTGTTTGTGCTTAGCATTGTATATTGTGTGATTTAATGGAAGTAATTAAGTGGATGATAGATGCAGAGATTTGTCTCCGATTCTAAGGGGACCATTCCTATTGAGCTTCTTTTGCTATCTGTATTCTGACTGTAATAAGAATTTCTCTATAATAATCTTCTCAATCATTTTCAATGAAATGGGAAGTACTATGGCGATCTGGTAATAAATACATTTCAAACGTTGTATATAATGCTCTATATTATTACAGAAATCATCTTTGCGAAAATGTGATATGCTCCTATACATCAATGGGGGCCCTAAAACTGAGTTCATAAAAATGAGAAACACCATCTCTGATCACAATAACTCCTTGCTTGGATCTATTTTAGTCTTCGTCTTTGTTTGACTTCTTAGAGTTTGGTGGGGTTCACTTTGATTTGGCACAATTCTTGGAAATATTTAAAGTTTATTTAATTTTCAGATTTTAAAAATATAACTAAAGTGGGTTGTGGACAGATAGCTAGCCATCTCTCAGGGGCTGATTGTTCTAGAGGACTCAGGTTCATTTCCCAGTACCCACATGGCAGCTCATGACTAACTCCCGTTCCAGGGATCCAACACCCACTCTCAGATATACTTCCAGACAGTACAAAAATTGCATATAAATAAAAAGTTAAAAATAACTAAAATGGGTGAAGTTCTTTTCATTAGGTTTGACTTATTTCTTCCTGATGTTTATGAAGGGCAGAGATCATGTTTTCCTTTTGGAATCCATATTGAGCTCTTCCACGTCCTAAAATTGTTACCATAAAATAAAAATGGCCAACTGGTCAATGGTTTGGGCAACAAAGGCTAAAGTGCTAGTCATATTGAGTATCAGAAACTTCATTGGGTTTTTCCATTTTAGTTTTTATTCATCCATCCCTTACTGAGTCATTTGGTTTAAAGTCATTGCATGGGGTATGTGAAGGTCATCTATACCTGACTCATCACTAGTGGTGTCCAGCAGGGTAGTATACCTAGTCAGGGAAGACAGGAGACATCCAGCTAGGCCCCAACTTAGCAGTACTTATGTGTCATTCACAGGAGCTGGCGTGTCCTGTCCAACAATGCCTGATAGCTTCCACCATATCTCAGTTGACACTGAGTTGGAAGGATTTCTAGCAGGGTCTAATACATAGCATTGTGTTTTGACAGGAAAAGGGGAGTTGAATATCTACACATGATCCCTAGAAATCCATGTGGTGATTGTGAGTGAGGGGTATCCTTCATGTCCTTAAACTGACAATGTATGTAGGGTGTAGACAGTGGGAAGGGCTTGCAGAGCACATATGAATTCAGGCTCTGCTGCTTCCCCACCTGACTGTACCATCCAATACAGTGCTATTATCAGATTTACCTTCACAGCTATCTCCGTCCCGCACAACACGGTATCATCCCTCATCACACCACACAGCACACTCTACAATTCCACCTTCTCAGAGCCACACAAAATACACTGACAGAGATTTGTTGTTTCCTGGGTTGTGTCAGGGGCCAGGATCTATCTCAATGTCCTAGGGAAATGTCTACTCCCATCATCCATCAGTGTTTGTATTTTCTTGGTTGGTGGCATCAGGGGTCAGTGTCCACAGTTCATCTTCTCCATGTTATTTTCTGCTTGGGCAGGACTTCTGGGTTATCTGGGAGGACATAAAGGCATAGATTACTTTGTTCACTGTCAAAATACAAAGGTGTCTAACTTGGGCAGAGATTCAACAACATGTTCAAAAGGGGACTATACTGTAGATTCCCAGATCTTGTTGGTGATTTCGGTGGATGTCTGAGGTTGGAAGGTAGAAGAGTGGCCATTTCATTGTCCTCCACAGCGTGTCCTCATAATGCCCCATGGAGCCTCTGAGTTCCTCCAGAGCTCAGGCAATGACATGTTAATCTTCTAGGGAAGGAGAGGTAAGAGGCATACTTCATCTTTAATGTCACCAATGCCAAGTGTGCACCTCTCAAGTCAGGAGTTTGGGAGTCCATGATTCAGGATGTGGCCAGGCACCTACAAGAGAAGGTTGATTTTTAGATCAATGATGAGGCTGGCAGAAAGATTTTCACCAGCCCTAGACCCATGGGCTTTCAGATAATGTCAGGTTTATTTTCTGTGGAATTCAGGACCAAGTGAGGCAGGGTCAGTGTCCATTTTCTTCCTATGAGATCTTCCTGAGGGAAAGCTCAGTGTGGTCTCCTCAGGAAGCTCTGATTTCAGGGATTGGTTGCCCTGGATTCCCTGTTACTGTCCATTCAAAGGCTCTAGGATCAAGGACAAGCAGAAGTTTCCCATCAACATGTCTGTATCTGGGCACTGTCCTTCCTACACCCCATTTCATTCGACAGTTGTCTTATTGACACAGGAGGCACACATGGTGAAAATGGACTTTGTCACAGAAAATGTTCAACAGAACCTGAGATTGAGGATTGAAAGATGGTCAATGAGTGTTCTGGAGTTTCCTCTGAGACTACAAGGGACCCAGCTGTATCCACAATTGACATAGAATTTGGGTCAAAGGAATTTAAGCAGTGTTGCAACCAGTCATGCTCTTTCCAAGAAAGCAAGATCCTGATCATCTCTGGGACTCACTTTTCCCATTGGGAGGTGAACAGTACTGAGCAATGTGGGGTAGTGTGTGTAGAGAGGTGGGTCCAACAGAATAGTACTGACAGCACCTCTTCCTGTTTCCTCCATCAGGCAGGCTGTGAGGAAAAAGGGTGTTTAGTGTGTGAGCCTAATCTGCAGACAACTTTTCTCATGTAACAGTCTAAAGGCCACAATATGCTGCCTCTGGTGGCCATTGATTAAAAAAAAGTTCTCATTATGTGGCCTTTTGGGCATCATGTCTGCATTGTGAGATTCATATTCTCAGAGACTAACACATGGGCCTGGAGTCTCAGGTCCACTTGTGCTATCTCTTGTGAGATTCCATGACCAGGCCACACACCCATGTCTCCTTGGCCAGGTTTCGTTAAGTTCATCAGGACTGAAGTCTGCCCTAGTGGTCACTCACTGCCAGACAGAACAGCTCTGTGCTGAGGACCAGCATGTTCTTTGTCCCTGGGAAAGTTTCCTAGCTAGGATGTGTGAACCTTCATGCTCCTGTTCCTGAAACCCAAAATAGACTAAGTCACTGGGAAGTGACAGAATAATGTCATATGTATCATATGTTGTTGCTATTGTAATATACACATGTGAGAAGATGTTCACCCTCTTTGATTCAAACTGTTCCTTCTCAACAAGTTTTATCAACATCCCTCTGAAGCCATGTCTAGGCTATTGCTTTCCTTCTGTCTTTATTGTACTCTACAAAACGAGCTCAATGACCACATTCCCTTGGATTTGGGGATAGCCTGCCTGACCAGCCTCATGCTTCCTAACCTATGAGTGAGAGTCAAGTTTATCCCAGAAACCAAACACTTGTCATCTACCACAGGCAGGCACATAGTAGTCTCAATGAGGCCTTCAGCCATGTGCTTCCTGTAGATGAACCTAGGCATTCATCCCCTTCAGAGTGGCCATACATCACAGCATCCAGCAGCAGGTATACCTACAATCAAGCTGGATCAAATTGGACCAAACCCCTTTGAACCAGATCAAAACCGGTTCAGACCAGATCAAACTGGATCGACCCATTTCAAACTTAATCAAACCGGTTCAAGCTTGATCAAACCGGTTCAGACCAGGCCAAACCGGTTCAGACTGGACCAAACCGGTTTAGTCTGGTTCAGACTGGATCAAACTGGTTTAGACTGGTCAAACTGGTTCAAACCCATTCAAACATGCATGTCTGAAGGTCAGTAGAAGAGGGAGTACTGTGGGACTGGTGATATTGAACTCAGATTTGTAAATTTGCATATCCACACAGGGATACAAGTTAATGTGCTAATTGCAAAGGACACATGATGGTGTCAGATAGAAAACTAATGACATAAGTATATGAAGAGGATACAGGGAAAGAGCACATACACAGTATCAAGAGTGAAATTTTGGCATGTTCCAGAAAACATATTCATCTTAAGATGACTGTGTTGTGTTGGATAAGAAAGACCTGGAAGCTAAACCACTTTGTTTTCTCTCATTTGAAACATTTGGAGGTTTGAAGGAGCAAGAGCACAAATGGCAGGACACTAAGGACAAGGCAAAGGTCAGTGGTCTCATGAGATGGTCCACAATGTTCTGAGGAGGGAAATGATCCCTCTGACTGCACAGACAGTCCAGACTGTGCTGAAGAGAGCCCTAGGTGTTTGAGTATCAGGGCCTCTGCAGCCTGGGGCTCCCCATTAGCCAGCATGTATGAACAAGATTCAGTGACCTAACAAACAACCCAAAGTGGTTTTGACAAGTAAAGATAATAGCACTGGGGGATCCATGTGCAAGACTAGCCATGAAAGACAGCAGCCAAGCAGACTGTATCTGAGTGTTGGATGAGGAGAAATGGAAGTTCCTCTCTATAATGTGTGGCTTCATGCCCTGCCTCTACCACCGGTGTCCTTGAAGTGACAGCTCTACCTTTAAAACAGGTACCAAATGTTTCAGTGACCCACCTTGAGTCCTAAGACTTGTTCTGATAGCCCAAGTGGAAAGAACTCAATCAATCAGACCAGGTAGCCAATTGGGACTCTTCTGATTGGTCATAGTGAAATCATGTGACTTGTTCCTGGACTGCAGTTGGAGGTCCTGTGGAAACAGGGTTAGTGTGCATCCTTTAGTACCCTGTGCATTATTTCAAAGGATGTACCAGCTAGGGCACACCTCCTCCAGCCCACTGCCCTATGTCTAAGGAAGGCTTCATGACAGTTCTTCTCTCCTCCTGGTGTCTGCTCATGGTGGACAT